GTTAGACTGTTAGAAGGACATGCAAGCATAGCTAAAACAAACATATGTTGTTGCAATCTCCAATCGAGATACGGTCATTTTCCAGGCATGGATTCATCGTCATATCGCCGTTCGGCCGCTGCTCGTGCCTCCGACAACGCAGTTGTTGAAGACGAATGGGCATGGAATGCCTCCAGTCACCTACGATCACTGTGAATCGCTATCGTTCGTATGTCCAAGAACAGGTTGCGGAAATCACATTAATATTAGGAAAGCCATCGACAATCAGGTAAGGTTTTTCGAGATTTGAGCTTTTCTCCGGCCTCTCCGAAGTTCTGCACACCTCAAGCTTTCTGATAACTTCTTCGTTTCCTTCCTTTCTTCTTTCGCTGGACGCCGCTCTTCGAGATTCATGCGCGAGAAAGAGACGTCAGAACTATAAAGACACAACTCGTTCAGTCCTGCTTGTTTTCACTTTCTAGCCAGAGCTTTCCTCAGCGAGGGGCAAAATCAGGCGTTGATAGGCTTGGAGGGGAAATTTTGCACTTTCGTTCCTTTTGTCAGTTTATTTTAACTGACAAGTTTCACTTTCATCGGACCTTGTGAACTCCTGTGGAGGTGCGAAATTGCGCGAGTGGGCTGTTTTGGTCCCAGGAAATTACAGGTACGCATGTGGCCCATACAAGCTCAACTGGGTGCCAACTGGTGCCCCCTCTAAGCCGAACTGCGCCCAAAATTTCGTGTTTCGCTTAACTAGTATTAGCGTTCCTCGGGATTTAAAATCAACTCCACGACTGGTAACGACAATTACGATTGTATAAATCAAATGGAATCGGTTTCAGGAGTCAGGGTTGCGCTTGTCGTTAGAAACATGTGAGAAGTGCGATGTGGAATTGGCGCACTACATTCCCTACATCTGCAACCGACTTAGCATCTCGTTAAGAGAGTTTGTCGCAAAACACCTCATAGCTCCTTTCAAGTATGTTCTGACTGGCTTCTTATTCATCATTGTTAATCATTTTTTAATTAATTTATTTTTTTTTGTTAATTTTAATTTTTTACTGTAAACTGATGTTGTTAGTTGAATTTTATTGTTGTAGATGCGATGACCCCGTCTGTGAGTTCAGCACAAGGACACATCTGTTAAGATGGTGTCGCGAAGGGTTGGAGTGTCCAAAGTGCTCTGGCGGAGTTCTGCGAAAAGGAAGTGAGCTTTCATTCAATAGGGATTCATTTGTAATATTAGGTTTTGTTGTGTGCTGTTGCCCAAAAATGATTACAGCTGGAAGAAGTTTTGAAAAAAGAAGACGATAACTCTACAGTAATCCGTTTTTAAAGCGTTCAAATTCTTTTTTTAAAGGGAACGATAGTAGGTCATAGTGGCACACTGGAAAGAGACATATGCTAATGCGTCCGCACTTTTATCTGATGATGAATTTTCCGATTAAGGGCAGAGATGTTTTTTGAGGGGGTGGGAAGGGAGTGAGAATATAGCCAAAACATTCAATTTGTGGTTCGTGCTTGAAGGGGGGGGGGGAGGTCAAGCTGTCAATGGTGGTAGGCAGCCTTGCTCCTGACAACACTGAAATTTGAAGTTGAGCCAGGCGCTACCTAAAACCTTCGTCAACATTGCCCAGAGTGGTTCGACCAGACAGTGTCTATCGTTCGTATCAGCGTTTTCCCAACCTTGTCGCTTACCCACCCCAACCACTCTTAAAGAAAGGTATCACAAGAATGCTGAGATATTGGCAAAAGTCGGACCCGGGACGGGGCTCGAACCCGCATCTCCCGCTTACCGGGCGGTTGCGACTTTTGCCAATATCTCAGCATTCCACTGATAACTTTCGACTGCGGCGTTGAACAGCAATTATCAAATCAAACAGCTTCAGAACAAGTAAAAAAGTGTTTGGCGTGCGGGCCAGCTATCCCTGGATCGTGCTTTCTCGTCGGGCAGGTGAATACACTATATATCCATCTTCAAACAATACACTTTGACCTCCATTCTCCCTCTGTTTGTTTTTATTTTTGAACGTCTCTCTAGAGGACGAAGCACACGCTTTGAACTGTGTTATCTTTGAATTTGCGAACGAAAAGCTCAAAGTACGTTTGAAAATTATAAATAGTGTTCCAGTACTCTGCGAAGGACTTGTTCGATCAGCAAATGTTTTTGAAGCAAGTCGTTGATGTGCAAACAGCACTGGATGAATTGAAGCCCGAACAAAGAAGTAAGTCTCATAATCAAGCCTCAGATTACAGTCAAAGCACCTCCTGTACTTGGGAAGGGACTTGAATACCCCCTCTCCCCTTCTCCGCACTGAGATCCTTGCAGCCTTCCTGAACGGTCCCAACCAGTGCTGCCGTGTTGGTTTAGGGGGAGTGAGGCTTATAACTGTTGCTGTTTGTGGTATGTCATTAGCCACATGTAGTTTGTCAGGGTCTAACAGTATACCCTCCGCTTTGGCCGAGCAAAAAGCATTTCGTCCTGTACCTCGTACCTGAAGAACTCATTGGGCAACCCTTGCAGGGACGAATGGAGCACAAGCGGTAGAAGTGGTGATCTCCCTCTCCCGATTTGCCTCTTCTGAGATACTCCCTTTTACAACTTACAAGCTTTCACAACCTGACGTGCTGTGGTTAGAGTTCCTCGGTTTCCCTAGATTCTTAGTAGTATTAGGACGTAAATGGATGTAGAACGCGTGGCGCATCTTGAAAAAGGGGTGATGAGCTCAGAGAGCTTTATTCCTTTATCAGTAGTATTGCTGTCAAACTTCCACTGGCAGATGTAAAGGGATAAATTCTTCGCCGTTGTTCAATC